TTGTTCTTCTCCTCTTGTTGTTGTTTGTTTTTCTTCTCTTATTTCTTATTTCTTCTATATCTTACTCTTTCATTTACAGAAAATAAAAGAAAAGAAACAAACAAACAAACACATATATATACATATACAAAGAAAGAAAAGAAAAGAAGAAGGGTTCACACATTTTACTTTCATGGCCAGCACCAGCTCCAGCAGCATAAAGTCTGAATATGATCAGCAGCGAGAGCGACTGATGGCGGAATTATTATTTGGCCGCATGAAGGACCGCATTGCCGATATCACTGCGGCCGTCAACAAAACTTTTTTCGCCGGGGCGGAGAGAAACTCGGGGCATATTTTTCTCTCCAACGCGGCAGTCGCTCGTCGCGGTAATTTAACAGAGAAAATGTTATTTCATGATGATATTACCCAACCGCCGCCTACAAATACAACAGAGAAGGAAAAGGAAGATCAACCTATAAAAGAAGATAATAATAATAATAATAATAATAATAATAATAATAATAATCGATGGGTACGTGGAGTTCTTATTGTTTCGAGTTCTCTTTTACCTCCACCAGAGTCTCTTTTCTTAAATCGTCAAGCCAATGGACGAGTTTTATTTGAACGTACACCAAAGATGTTATTCCTCTTGCTTCTACGAGTTGTGGGGATCTCACTTCCCTCCTTTACTCCACACGGTGAAAGTAATGAATGTGAAGAGGCGCTGGAAAACTGTAAACAAGTCCTACAGGAAACAGAACATCGCTTTCTACATAGTTTAGAAAGTTGTTTGGTGTGGCTTCTCCGACACAGACGGCGTGAAAAGATGATGAAAGTTTGTAAACTACATTGTGAAGAAACATTAGGGACACCACGTAGACGTGCAGGAAGTCATTCCTTTTCTTCTTTTTCTTCTTCCGGTAGTCTGAGTAATAATAATCATAATCATAATAATAATAATAATCATCATGCTTATAGTTCCTGTTCTTCTTCATCATTCTTCTCAGAGGAGCCCCCCACACTCTCTGTACCACTTTATTATCTTTCTGTACATATGGAGGATAATGCCTCATCTCGGCTTGCCGATAGTGTCGATCTCACCAGTGGATTTATAGATCTCATGATTGATGGAGAATTGTCTGTGGTGAAGGAATCCACAGCACTTCTGCAGGGAATTGTACAAGTCTCTCATATAATGGCTAGTTTGGCAGAAGAAGATGAGAGAAAAGAGAATGAGAGTAAAAATATAGAAAAGAGTGAAGAAGAATTAGATGAACTTCTTTACAAATTACATTGTTATGCTCTTTCATTGCTTTTTAAGACATCTTGTCGTAATTTGCATTTGTTAAGAAGCTATAAAACTACAACTGCGCCTATTATTAATATTGAAAGTAATACAGATGGTATTCCCATCTCAGAATTGCAATTGGACGATTCACCAATGGAAATAGAGGTAGTTCAACACCCTGTTATTATTAATAATAATAATAATAATAATAATAATAATGTGGGTGATCCCACTACGAGCGACGTAAGCGTGGGGAGTGGAAACAATACCGATATTAGTCACAATAACGATAATAATAAGAATAATAATAATAATGATAATAATAATAATAACGATAACGATAATGATAGTAGTAGTAATAATAACGATAACGGTAGTAGTAGTAGTAGTAGTGATAGTGATAGTAATAATAATACTATACGATCCTCTCCACTTCCTGGTGTTCTCGTACATTGCGTGAAAGGAGTTTCCAGAAGTCCCTCTGTAATTATGGCGTATTACTTGCGAAAATGTTCTGCTGATTTTTACGCACTCTCACGAATTCCTCAACCTTTTCCTCGTGGAAATGATGAATATCAATTGAGTCAACTTTTAGGAGAAGAATGGACTCTCTTTTCTTTTTCAAAATTACTTCGTTGTGTACGTGAGGTGCGGCCAATTGTGGATCCACAAGTGTGTTTTCTAGTAGAGCTGAGGTCCATGTGGAATCGGCTGTCGGAAAGCTTGGCGAGGGAAGAGGAAGAGAAATTATTATAACTAGTCCTCTTATCTTTTTTTATTATCTTTTCTTTTTCTTTTTTTTTCTTTTGCGTTTGTTTTTTCTTATTGTTATTCAACAATATTATCAATAATAATAAAAATAATAATAACGCAGATCGTGAATTATTTTCTTTTTTTTTTTTTATTCTGTTAACGCAGTCTTTTTTATCTTTTTTTTTATTTCGTTTTCTGTAAGTCTTCGAGATGCCAGAAATAGTTGGTCTCTCTTTGTGCCTTTGTTGAGCGCAAGACATTTTTTTTTTCTTTTTTATGTTTTCGTTTTTTTTTTTCTGTTTTTTTTCTAAACAGATTTATAATTGTTTTTTTTTTCATTATTTCATTCTTTGTTTCCAATATATATATATTTGTATTTATATCCTGTCGACCCTTTTTTTTTTATTTTTTTTTTCTTTCTTGAGCTCCTATTTCTTTTTCTTCTTCATGTTTATCATCTTCTTCATCCAATACTCTTCATTTTTTTTCTCCTTTTCTTTCTCTCTCCTACATTTGAAAGTCTTCCTTTCTTTGTGGTGTACTTCTTGAGTGAAGTGGAAAGAAGAGTGTAGCCCGCTCTTTCTTTTTCTATTTTTCTCTCTCTCTCAGTGTGTGTATGGGAGAAGAGTCTTATTTAGATACGTCCCCCGCCTCCACTTCTCATCTCATCTCTTCTCATGGCCACTGTGAAGGTGACTGTGCATGAAGCCCGGGATCTTCCCATTATGGATCGCACAACAGGACTTGCAGATCCCTACGTTGTTGTTAAACTCAATGATCTTGAGTACACTACGGAGATTGTACATATGTCTAGACATCCCGTATGGAATAAAGTATTTCGCTTAGATACAGCAGATCTACTCATCCTGCAAGAGGATCCACTGGAGGTGCGATTGTATGATCATGATATTATCAGTAGAGATGATATTATTGGACTCACTTTTCTGGATTGTAATTCTATGGTTTTACAGAGTAATCCAGCCATGAGTGGATGGTTTCCTCTCTTTGATACCAGTGCAGATGGAATTCGAGGTGAAGTACGGCTTACAGTGAAGATAAAATTTCATACCGCGGAGAATCCATTAGCACCGCGGCTTCCAAGAAGATTAGTTCGTTTATTACCACCATTACAAGACTATGAACATCCTAATCGTGGAGATGAACCGCCATCACCAAACTCTGTGCGATTCTTTTCTTCAGGAGATACATTAGAACCTCTTCGAGCTACTCGAATGCAGCATCCCTCACTAACAGCAGAGGATGAAGGTATTTTGATCTTCTCTGCATGGAGATTGGATCCAGCTGTATATCGTGTGGAATCCGTACTTACGATGGTAGAGGAACTTATTGTAAAAGCAGATCCAGAACATTCAAAGTTAACGAATCTACGTAGTACCCGAACTACAAATGAAGCTCGAATTATTCAATTATATAAACTTAGTGGAAAAGTAAGACGACAATTAGCTCGTAAAGTAGTGGAAATGCAATGTAATGCTGTTCTTGGTTATGTAGAGGAATTTGATATGGAATCTAATGGTATCATTGTGCGTGCATATGGAACTCCCTGTGTAATCTCTGCCGTAAAATATGTAAAACCAGAAAAAATGGGTTCTTTCCTCCTTTCTTCCAATACACAACAAACTCAAGGCGTACAGACGAGACCAGTGGAAACCCCATCTGGATGTTTAACACCCGCTCATGGTTCCTTTGGTACACCTCAGCATTTACCAACGATGGGTGATACTTCTACAGAGCAGATGATTGGTAGTACTACGAATACGAATACTAATACTACTACAGGAATATCAAAAGGAATGGTAATGCCAAAATTAACTCTACAAGAAGCTGTATCATCCACTACGAATGAAGTCGATACACATGTGATTACACAGCCAACTACTACTAATACTAATAATACTACTACTGCTAATAATAATAATAATAATAATAATAATAATAATAATAATAATGGTATGAACCCTGTTGGATCATCTATTCCTACACCTTTAAATCTTGGAGGGGCTGTACTTGAGAATGCCACGGCTCCCTTAATAAATAATGAGTCTAGTGGGACAGAACTCCCACCATCACAGCAAGCGACAACAGGAACACGTACAAATGTTCTTATTTTAACTCTTAAAGATCTTCCATCTGGAATGATTGAACATATTGGTGGTCATATTAGTGCTCAATCGGTAAAAATTGTAGCAAAAATGAAATCTAAACAAATGATTTCACAAGAACGTGATGCTTGGTGGATGGAATTACGTGAAGAACTTAAAGCCAATGCTCGTGCATTTTATTGTAATGTCATTCTTGGATATGAAGAAGTGGTTTTATATCATGAAGATGTAGCTGTTCTCTCACTTTTTGGAACTGCTGTAAAATTAAATCATACCATGCATCCTCTTCGTGGTGGTCCTGAATTTCTTTATAGACATGCTTTAAAACGTTTTACTTCACGTAAAAATTGTTCATCTATTCATTTATTTGGAAATTCTATGCGTTTAGTCGATATTACAGGAGCCCTTGGAGATTTCATTACATGTAATCTTTGTCATCAAAAATCCGTTCCTGAGGTATTATTAGTATCCTGTGCAATGCCACAAGATCTTACATATGAAGGAGAACCAAGACTTGTACAAGCTGTTGTATCCAAGGCAAAAAGTGCTGTTCGTGGAGTAGATCTTGCCCTTGCAGTTTCTCAAGCTCTTTCTTGTATTGAATATTCATTACATAAACAATTATTATTTAATCTTAAATTACAACGTTTAAATGCTGTATTTGGTCTTCGAGTGACCTTATGTATTACCTCTGATGCTATTATAGGGACCATGACAGGAACTGGGTGTTGTTTGGTAGGTCTTCCTATTCCATCCCTACCACGTGTTGAGATATTAGATCCATCTATTCGTCATCATGATGCCGTTATTCGTTTAGAAGATGTAGTAGCCCAACACGCACGATCAAGACGACGTCAAGGTAAAAATAAAAATACAACCGATACGCAAAGAAGTTCTTCCACATCATCGGATTTATCAGAACATAGAGGATATGAAAATAGTTCACCTGGTTCATGGGGAGGAGGTGATATATTTTCTTCAGATTCTGATAATGAACAAGGATTACCAGGATTTGGAAAATGTGGTAGAGTTAGTGATTATGTGGTAAAAATTGATGATGAGGAAGAAGCTGAAATAATGCTTGGAATGATTGGAGAATTAACATTTGAAGATAGTATACTTCTTACTGTACCATATGTACCAGATTGCGCAAATGCATTTGGATCACAAGAACGTGTTTTATTAAATCGACGTTTTATTATTAATAGAATGTATAATGGTTCTATTTCTACAGGAACTGTAAATAAATGTTTTGCAGAAGCTAAACGTGCCTTTGTTCAAGCTGTTTGTCGAGTAGCATTACGTCGTCATCATCATCCACTAGAACGATTACGAGTAATGAATTTTTCATTTGGTTTATTCTTTGAACCTAATTCTGGTGCCATGCAATTACGATTAGAAGGTTGTCTCATGACGAGTACTGCCCCAAAACGTTTATGTTTGGAAGAATTGGAAGAGAAATCCTTTAGAGAGTGTTTACGATATGTGGAAGGAGATCCCCGTCCGGTTCCATTGACGCATAATAGTCTTGGAGGATCTACACCAAAGTATGCTGTGCCGATAGAATGTAATAACGCACTTCGAGCTTCTGTTTGTAGTGCTCGTACAACGGATGTGAGTAGCACCTCTGGAGGTATTGGAGGTGGAGGAGGAGGAGGAGGAGGAACTGCTGGTGGAGTTAATCACATTGAAAAGGATATTGTCCATCAAGTGGAACGTAGTGTATTTGTAAAAAGTAATGCCCCTTATGCCCTTCCATTTGTATTTAAACGAGATATCCCACCACCGTATTTATGGTCAGAAATGGAGGCGAGTGCGGCGGCAGCGGCGGCTTCGGCGACGACTTCCACCTCCGCCCTGGCGAGTGTGAGTGGGGGCTATAGAGATAACTGGGCCCGGCCTGGAATGGTGGAAAGGCAATGGCAGGCCCTCACTTCTCTCGCCTCCACCGCTATTCGTAATTTAATGGAAAAGACGGGAGTGACTGCAGATGCGAAGAGTGGTGTGGTGGATGGTCGGCATCGTGAGAGTGGAATGACATTAGAGTCCTCTGCAGGTGGAGGACCCATGTTACATCAACCAGCGCGACGACTACCAACAGACTGGAATTTATTTGAGGCAAATGAAACCGAAGTTATCTTTACTCCATTGGATTTTGTAGCAGGGAAGGCAATTGTACGATATGTGGGTCGTCTTTCTCAACATTTTATCCGTGAAGATTATGGTATAGATACCTCAAATGATCTTGGTGTCTTTTTTCAACGAACAGATTTTGAAATGCAATGCATGGTTCAGGCAATGGTGCGATTAATGGGAGGCGATGCACTCTTAAAACATCGTGTGACTTATCATGAAGTGTGGGATTCCGATGGATCGGGATGTGCATCTGTGTTTGTTACCGTAACTGGAGATGTGGTCCAGACAAGTACACTTCCATTAGTTCCACTTGTTTCAAGTAAAGGTAACGATCATGATAGCAGCGAAAATGATGAGGATCACTCTCATTAACATCATCATCATTATTATCATCATTCTTGTACTAGTAGTGTTGATGATGATGATGGTGGAAAGTTATTTTTGGTGCGGGGGGAGGGTTGGGAGGGGGTGTTGTGTGTAGTGAGTGGTAGTTGGTACATTGAATATATATATATATATTTGTTTTTATTCAAAAAAAATTATAATGCAGTGAAGTAATCAAAGACGAATCGATTGAGATGATATTTCCAGAATAACGGATTAAAGGAGGAAAAAACAGGAATATTGGAATAACTTTTGCATCTCTTCTTTACGTTCATTGGATCGTGTTAGTGCGTATTCCCACTATTTATTTTACCTTGTAGATTGTTTAGTAAAATAATTGCATGTGTATCCCTATTAATTCCTTTATCCCTTTTGGTTCTCTTTGTCAGGTGTTTTTATCTCCCTTTCATTTTCTTTTTTTTTCCTTTTTTCTTCTTGTTTAATAATATAGACGTTAAATGCAGGTGGTGGGATTAGATGAAGGTGGATTATGTACTCTCTCACCGAATCAGAGTCTCTATGCTATTGTGTACAATCATCTAAATGTTGTATTTAAGGATTATATTCGTTGTACAAATAAGTTGATACATAATTCTCCTCCAAGTCCTACAGCTCTCTCACAACACCGCCGTCAAGAGGATCCTATTATCTCAAAGTTTACAGCCCTAGATGAAATTCATGAATTACAATGGTCACCCGATAGTACTCTCGTTTCTTTACTTTTAGCGAGAAGAAAAATTGTGGAAGTGGTGAGTGTGTATGGAAAGTGTTGTGTGGCTCGCATAGATGCTGGGATTTCTGGTTTACGTGCAGTATTATGGCATCCATCCTCTCGTGTGATTTATTGGGTTGGACTTTTACAAGTTCATGTACTTTCCCTTGTGGATGGAGAAGTAATGCGGCTTCCCGGTGGGGTGAAGTACTCTGCTCAACTCGCCGCAAGACATTCTTCCAATATATTGAAAGAGACAGTTTCTCCTAATGGTGATAACGTATCACATCATCATCAGTCTTCGTCTTCTTCTTCTTCCTTCTCCTCTTGTGAAACCTCGTGGGTAAATAAACCCGTCAGTAAAGCAGCATTACTTCGTTTTTCTATCTGTCGTCGTTTTTTAGTTTATGTAACCCCTAAATCATTACATTCACCCTTGTTAAGAGATCGTGAGGATCAGGGAAATGAAATATTTACACCTGGTAGTGAAATGACCCCAATGGTAACAACAACAAATGCCTCAAATGGGGGAGGTGAAGATCATGGTATGATTTATCATCATACTGCTTTAGATAGAGAAGGAAGAGAAAAAGAAAGTGATGGTCCACGTCGTAGTGAGTGGATTGTGATTTTATCTGCCACTACACATGAAGAATTACACACATTTTCTATTGGACATCTTGTTCGACGTGTTTCAGATTGTATTCCACTACAAGGTGGAATAGCTTTGGTGGATTACATACAAGGTTCTGTAGTCGTGACAACGTATAATGGTGTACGGGTCTTATATAAAGAAGAATCTGGTGTAAAAAATGTAGTAGCTTCAAAAAAAGGGGATATTCTTTTTATCGTATTCGCAAAAGAGTGTCGTGCTGTTGTGGTATCTCAAAAAAGAGTGATGGCTTTACGAAAAATCTCTTTTTATGAGGATGTGATTATACCTATGCATTTTAAAAATTTACTCTTATTGGAAGAACCAATATCAACGGCAGATATTACAGCAAAGTTTTCACGAGATTCAGGTCCATATGAAGAAGATGTAAAGGATTTTCCTTCATGGTTTAATATTAATAAAGATTTAATTCCAGAAGAATCATTAGTAAACTCTTTTCCATCTAGTTCTCATGTTGCGATGAGCACTTCTGGTAAGATAGCTGCCGTTACTTTAGGTATATGTCCTCGTACTGTTTTAGTGATTGATATTTTACAACAACGTGTTTTGGCGGTACTTCACCATCGTGAAAATGTTGTAGGACTTTTCTGGAGTCCATCACCTTCTTCTGAGTATTGGCGATTTCAGCAGCGTCATTATTATCATCCTTCTCATTCTCCTCCTCAACGTGTTCCGCATGAAAATGGGAATGGTGAAATCATAAAGGAGAACAATACATCATCTCTTGATTGGGATGAACCTCTTATGGTAACAACAGATAATCACGAGGCAAAGGTGTTTATGTGGCTTTCTAACCATCCAATGTGTTTTGTAGCACCTTGCCATAATAGTAATAGTAATGATGATGGGAACAATGGAGGAAAATGTGATTTACCAGCATTACGTATTAATCGTGCTATCTTTGGTGAGACTGCAGAAGATGCCGTATTGATAGATGATATTAGAGGAATAGCTCTTACAGTTATATTCTGTAATGATGAATTGAAATCTAAAAAATAAATTTGCTGATAATAAGCATACATTTGCATATAGAGATCTACTATAAAAAAGATGAGAATAAAAAAGAATTGATTATTATTGTTATTATTATTATCACGACTATTTACTGATATTTTTACTAGATGAATATTTCTTTAATCTTTTGATACAAGTATTTTTTTTTTTTTGTTTTTTGTATATCTCTCCCCACCGGTGAAAATATAATGTTCTTTTCACCCTTGTAATAATTGTTTTTCACCAAAACAAAAAGGCGAGGAGTGTGTGTGTGTATTTTTTCTCTCTGTGTGTTTCAAGCATGAGACGCTACTCACATGCATTGTCAATATTGCATGTGAGAAGAAGGCAAATATTGGCATTATATTTAGAAACATTCTCTTGTGGAATGAGAGGCAATAGTGATAACTCGGAGGATACACGGCAAGAAGATGCCTCTCTGGCGGGAGATCGGCGGCGTCTCGCGAGTCACTGGGAAAAGGCCTTTTTTGGTCGTGTACACTACGAGCCCGGCATGCGAGAGCACTACCGCTCCGCCACAGAAGCCGAGAGAGAAGAGAAGGAACCACAAGAAGGAAAAGATGAAATGGGATTAGAATACATGAGTAATCGTGAGTTATTCCCAAACTGGGCAGAAGATGAAGAAGCCCCATTGCATGAGTTCCGTCAACTGCCAGCTGCCTTACGTCGACGGTATATTGCCAATCGCCTCGCCATGGCGGAGCGGCGGGTGATGTTCGCTGCGGATTATGGGAGTCTTCTCATGATGCAGCACCTCAACTTGGGCGAGCGGATGTTAAATGAGGCGGAGGCGTTGTTGGTGGAGTGCGGCTGGTGGAATAGTGTCGTCGCGGCGAAGATAGAAGCCGTGCGGGATCATGCGGCGAAGGTGAAGTTTGAATTTGACCTCGATTGATGATAATGATGATGATATATAATAGATTTCTCTTATCCCTCAAAAAGGTGAGGTTGGGGAATAAGCAAGGGAATCGAGTAGAAAACAAAACAAAAAAAAAGGGTGGGGGAGTGAAGAAAATAAAAGAGAGAGAGAGAGAGAGAAGTGGGGGGTAATGTTGTTTTTTTTTTTCTGTTTCTTGTTTTTCATTCTTCTTCATATAAGGTTTTTTTCTTTTTTTTGTTTTGTGTGTGCTTTGCTTTACACGTTGTTTCTGCCTTGGCACCATACGACGGGAAAACAAATCCCTAGTAAGAAGCAAATCTCGAAACCAAAAGAAAAGAAAGAAAGAAGGAAAAGAAGGAAAAAAAAAAAACGAACAAGAATCAAAACAAAAGTGTGAGATAAACTAAAAAAAAGAAAAAAAAAAGAAAAAGAATAGAAGAAAAAATGCGTATTAATGTTTCAGGTGCACGACCAGAGCACAGAATTACGGGTCTTGAAATCAACCCAGATGAAGGTGTGGATGGACTGCGCCGCGCTGTTGCTGAACGACTCAACACTTCAGCAGAGGGATTGCGGCTTATTCACATGGGACGTCTGATTGATAACTCTCGACCATTGAGTTCATTCCTTCATGATGATTCTATAGTCCATGTGGTGGTCCCCCCAGCGGGATTTGAAAATCGTACGCAAGGTTCCAATAGTAGTACTGGTGGTGGTATGAATAATAATAATAATAATAACTCTAATAACAATGGTCAGGGACAAGGGTTTAATAATATTCCCAATTTCCCAGAAACATTTCAGATTAATATACCTGAAATTCAGGCTGCTGCTATGACTGCTTTGCCAGCCCTCGCTCCAAGTATCATGACTGTGGCGAGATCTTTGTTCCCGGCAATTCCAATCGGTGAAGTTATTTTTGAGGGTATTAGAGTTCCACCTCCACAACAACAGCAGCAGCAACAGCAACAGCAGCCACAACAACAACAGCAGCAACCGCCACAACAATCACAACAACAACAGCCAGGACAACAGCAGCAATCACAACAGCAGCAACCGCAACCGCCACAACAACAACAACCAGGACAACAGCAATCACAACAACAACAACAGCAGCAACAGCAACAGCAACAACAACAACAACAGCAGCAACAGCAAGAGGCTCCATTTGGACATCGGCAAACCGTGCATCGTATTTCTTTTCCATCAACTATGATGCCGCAAGATGGATCTGTAACTGCGCCACTTCACATTCATGTGCATGTGGGTCTTAATGAACTTGATGAACTTCCTGAGCGGATTGAACGACTCCGTGAACGCATGCGGTTTCCAAGGTGGAACATTTCTACACACTTTGAAAATCCACCAGCAACTCCAGTAACTCCAGCCGTTCCTCCCACGGCTCAACCTAATGGGGCGACAACAGGTACAGCTGGTGAAGCAAGTAATAACAATAGTAATACTACTACTACTAATAATAATAATGATGCCTCTACTAGAGGTGCAAGTTTCCCTTTGGGACTAGGACATGAAGGTCTGGTTGAACTAGGAACCAGAGTATTCGGAATAAATCATGAAGAGACAGGAGCTTTATCCCAGATTCTCACCATTATTTTCTCAGAGGATGCCATCCCAAGATTGATGCGCCTCGCAGGTGGGGATTGGAATTTTATTATAAATTCACGTCAACCCTTAACAGAATTGGTGCAGCAGTGGGGAGCTCCAAGTGGAGGGACACAGTTTGCCACAGCGGAGGAAAATCGTCATCATCGATTGGAAACGGAGGTTGATAGCATCATGAATACGATTCGAAACGATAGATCATCGATGCAGGCTATTCAATTGGAAATTAATCCTCAAGCTAATTTCTTTACAGAGTTTCGAAATCTTCTCTTAAATGCACACGAAGAACTGGCTAATGCTATTTTGAATACAATTGAAGACGGAGTTGAGTGGGTACGTGGTTTAAGGATTGCTTTTGCTCGTGCTGTTGGAATAGCTGTAGAGCGATCTTCAAATTGGTTTGTAAGAGGTTCAACAGGGATGAATATTCTTTTAACAAGATTACTACAAGCTGCGGCACAACAATATTCTGAAAACGGCGTGATGTGGGTTCAGGGAGTTATTCCTATTTTACAAAGTCTTGCACCTGCCCATATGCGAGCGTGGCATGCTGAATACCTCGCTCAGTACAGACGAGAGAGTGATGCAAATATTTTTAATGCCCCCTCAGCATCCCCTGAAAGAGGTGAAGAAGATCTTCTAGATGATTGTCTAGCTGAATTTTGTGCAGAAAACAGAAGGGATGAAGCTGGATCTACGAATTCTCCGGTAAATTCTCATCTGCCTCCTGCCGCCTCCCCTTCTGAAGGAGGAGGAACATCCAGTAATGCTGATAATCAGAGAGATGAATTGCGCAACGCATTGCATGCCTTTGGAGGACTCCCTGAGGAAGTAAATGAAGGTATCGTTGGTCGCGCACAACGTTTCCGACATGAGAGTCCACCAGCTGAGTCTGGTGAGAGCTCCAAGATGTGGAAACAGTTGAAGAAGCAGTAGTGGGTAAACGTTAATAATAAACCAATATGCGTTTATTAATATGTATTTCTGCCTGCGTGCATGTGTTTGTGCGTTAAGAAAAATTATATATGTTGCATACAACACCGGTATTTTGAAGAAGATTAGAAAATGGGACTGGGAATAAAATGAAAATATAAAAACAATTTAAAATATTCTTTAAAAAAAAAA